ATAAATAATTTTGAATGAATTCTGCAGCTCACAACACTGAGAAAATTATATTTTTTCCATACTTTTGACACAACACAGATTATTAATAGTTTTTTTTTTAGAAAAAACTGAAAATTCATTGTTTTTAGAATATTATTTAATTTCACACAGAATGAGTACATGCTTCTCCTAATTAATGTGTATTTACTTAAAAAAATATTGGTGCAACACGCAGGCTTCATGAGCAATGAGTTGTGCTCATGTTAAGAGTACCTATTGAATAAGGTTATTTCTATAACTACATTTTGTTATTCAGAAATATATGGTATATACGATAACACTGCTACACATTATATAAAATATTACTACGGAATATTAAACAAAAGTTTGAGTAGTTCAGTTCCAATTTAACTTCGTGATAGTATCGTGCAATACATTCTTTGTTCGAGAACGCGACGCTTCGCAAATTACTGCGAATGATTGCTTTACGTTCTCATAATTAGGTAATTCAATAATGAGTTCCATTAACATAAGTTTTTCAGATACTATAGGGTTATATAAAGTTAAATACCGGATTATAATTTTATGGCTAAGAATGTTTATGTTAAAATTCATGTCCTTGTCGTTAAAACCTGCTATGATGTGGATTATTTTCTCCAGAGTGAGTCGTGGGAGATTCGTATGTAAGCTGCGAATTTACACAGCGTACCACACTGTTTCTTTCACATTACATTTCATTTCTTATTTTTAAACTTATCATTAATGTAATTAGATGGTTCTTAAAACAAATCATTTTATGGTAAATGTGTTACTTATGTATTTCGAGGTTATACTAGCCACGGTCACGAGCTGACTTGGGTAAGTACTTACTGCTAAACTAACTACTAACTAAAACTTACTTCTACTAATACACTGATGGGAATGTCGTTAGATACCAGTACTTTGCTCAACTACCCTCACTACACAGTTTAAAATAAAATACTTATGTTATAGATACATAGCTTATTGATTATTGATACTACCGAATTAGTTGAACTAATTTATCACTAAATTCTTATATGTATGGTATATGTTATAGTGGTAATATATAATATATAATAAGAATAATAATAATTGGAGTGGAGAAAACCAGCAAAAGCTGAGAAAAACTAAAGAATAATAATAATAATCTCAGGACAATTCACACAGAGTCATCTAGACCAAAGTTAAACTAAGCTAGAGCTTGTGTTATGGGTACTAGATAACTACATATACTATACATATACTATATTTAGTTTTGTATATTATTACATACTTTTTTGTAAATACATACATATTATACATAGAAAACCCCCAGACCGATACAAACAATCATACACATAAATACAAATATTTGTGCCGTGCGAGGAATCTAACCCGCGACCATCGGTCGTCAGTATATAAATACTAATGTATGTATATGTAATAAAAATGTATTTTACAACTATTTAAATTACGAGTATATAAAAAGGAATAAAAGATGTCAAAAATTTTAAAGTTACGATTCAGGCGGTTATGTTTTAAAAGTGAGTTTCATTTGCCTCCTAAATATTTATAAATATTTTTTGCCATAATGACAACACGTGAGTCCTGAACAGTGTTGACACGTGAATGATGATCAGATCAGCCATCAGCTGGTTTCCTATTACAATATTATAAAAAAAAAGAAAACAGGATCGTATGTGATTAAGCATAAAATCGTAACAATAGTATTATGTAAAAAAATGCCTTGTTGCAGGAACCAATCCAGAGTCCGACCCTTTGTTTAGGGGGCAGCTTAGTTGCCACAAAAACTATTCATTAGCGAGACGCATGCCAAAAGGGGAAATTGGGGTGAACTAATCAAACAAAAAGGGCAAAAATATAATCTGAGTTGTGTTTTTAGATTAATTTATTGTTAGCTGTTTGATGTTTTTTTTACTTTTTAGTTACGTTAGTAGAAATTTAACTGTGCGTATGAACTTGAAGTATTATAATGCAAGTCATTTAACGTATTAATAAAGTATAACAGCGTCTATTAAATGATTTCATGTAATATTATTATATGACAATTCAATTAAAAAATAATGCTAAGAGGCTTCACAATGGTCTTAAATTTTTGTACATTTATATGTATAAAAATAAAAGTAAATATTTGATAACTAGCTGTACCCTGCGACTATGTATTATAACAGTGTTACTGGAACATTCCTATTCCTATTGAAAAACATTTTTTTTGGGATTAGTGTGAATTGACGCACAGTAATTAAACAAAAATTTTAAGAACCATTATTGACCTGGATAAAATGAGTACAATAATTACAATTTTTGTTTTTAATATTGAATGCACAGATCTTTTCACTTATTCACATTGCTCCATCTATAATAGTTTCAAGCTAAGCAGATCTGTGTTATGGGTTCTAGGTAACTGATCAAAGTACTTGTATACATTTTTTTATATAAATACATGCATAATAAATATACGAAATACGTCGATCGATACAACTAATACTACTCATTGAATTGTGAGGGGAATCGATACTGCGACCATCGGAAGTAAGATGGGGTGCTAAGACCGCAAGAATCGTCGTCAGAAAGATCGTCAAAATTTGTAACACTTTGTAAAAAAGAATAATTAAGTTAAATTTATAAAGTCCAATTTAAAAATCAACGATTTTATTCGCGACCGTTTTATGAATATTTGAAAAGACGTATTATCCATTTGTAGCTTCACAATTTACGATGAGATAGAACGACGAAATTGAATTAATTTCATGAAAGGATTGCGATGAACTTTACAACAGAGTTACAATTCAACTGAAAACAAACGACTACTTCAATTTTTCATCACTATGTTCCAGATTGGCTTTATTCACACCAATCAGCTCTCACGAATGACATTTACGCACGTAGAGAATAAAGTGGAATAGAAATGAAATCAAAGAAATATCATCCAAATATATCTTTTCTATTGTTACTTGTAATACAGTATAAACATATAACGAAATAAAAATAAAGCATCCATATTTTCTATATTTGTGCTACCTTTCTATAAATTTATCCACTTATTATATTTTTTAATTACGGTCTGCAATTGATGTAATTGTATTCTGTACATAATATAACAATGCATCTATGTGTAGTTGCTGAGCACAGATGTTTAAATATTTGAATACAAAATATAGCGGTGAATTTTTTTGCCAATCAGAACACCCACATTTCTCAAGGCTTAAACAACAAAAATATATAAACCTAAATATATTTTAGTGTTTCTTGTTCCGTGAAGGATTGGAATAGTTTAGTTTTGCAAATAGTTACTTATATACAAGGGTCGTACTTAAATATTCCGAAACCGGCTACTTACACTAAAAGCTAAAACAATATTTCTAATTCTCTAGTGAAGTATTTATATAAAAATCCTTTTTTGGTTTTCGTTTTCAATATAAATAAATAAGTTTTGTTTTACAAGAATAAACGAAACTGGTTATCGTAATTTAGTACCAATATGAAAGTAAACTAAATACTAAACTATATTTAACATAACCTTTTATTAATTAAGTTCGATGTTATTTAAGTTTTTCATCCAGCATTATTAGCGTCAATAAAAAATCAGCTTAATTTCACATTTGTAAAATAATTAATTTTTCGTACTGTTCTAATGCAGTTGACAGAAGTATAGTCTTCATAGACTTATCGAACGAAAATGGAGGTGAGTGCAGGGGGTACTTCAAACTAACGGTAGGACCATACTGCCGGATACGATTTCAGTCGGGAGGGCACTGCTAGGGGTCTAATTTCAGTACAGGTATCTATAATTTCAATGTCCTTTTGAAAGAGATTGAAGATCGATTGGAAGGGCAGTTATAATGTAACGTTATATACATAAGTTAGATGATTTTTCATTATACATTCTTTATACTTAAAATATAACAAATTGTGTAAATATACGTTGTAAAAAATATTTTTTTAAAGTATTAGCTAAGCCCACTATCGTATTAGATTAACTGTTTTGTTTGCAAAATATATAGAAATAATATAAACGCTTTGATTTTAAGTGAAGCTGTTCACAATATTTTAACTAAAATTGCTACCAGCAGTTTCCGAGGTTAACGTGCGCACCAACGTATAGTTAGACAATATTATAATAATTATTATTTTGGGATCTACATATTAAGTTGATAAAGTCTCCTAATGACAGTCTCATATATAGTATATTCCGAGTACAGACAGAGATCAGTTCCATATATGTATAGAATATATTGGTAACAAATCTTCTTGGGTGACTATATTGCTCGAAACATTACTCCAATACCTCTACATTCTGTAACTCTATTTAAAAAAAAAAACAATATCACAGAGATCTGATCTGTGATATAAAGGTTTTTAATTTAAATGACTGAGTTCTATATATGTTCTATTTTAACTTACAATGTTGTTTTTAAATGTGAAGTTGTTTATTTTATTATTGATCGAATATTTACTTATAATAGTTCTGTTCTTTCAGTCATATAATTTCCTGTAGTCTATTGGGTATTATTATAAGAAATAACTTGATTGTTATTTGTTACGTAGTATAAAAACTAATAATAATGTAACAAGTAAACAAAAACTTGGTTATCTGTACGATACATCAACATATGTATTAACTGTACATACGAATACAAATTCAAACTGATTTTTCCATTTGTCTCATATCTCCCATTGTTTTGGCCATATCATCCCATTTTATTAATTAATATTAACAAAATATCTGAAAAAAATAAAAATAAACAAGTCTTGTATCAATATTTTTATATCAAATTCTAATTTAAAAAAGCCTAGAAGGGCACATTACAGATAATTCAATTACATCGGGTGCACCTAATGTTTTCAGCGAAAAACATCTTTTGACAGCACGGATTCGGAGCTTATGCGAAAATTTATAGAAAATTGCATGGTATACGCGTTGCGCCCATAGGGTGCGCGGGAAGCGTCGGGGGGTGTATATTTAGCAATTGTTCAACCAGGCGACCGTCAGTTGATGCTTGGCTCGCGGTTAGAGCGTATGTCCCCGTCTTCCTCCCCTTCACTACGCGATCGCGCTCGATCTAATAAATTAATATAAATTGAAACTTAAAAATTTAGGATAACTTGTGTACTGTGTGATCAGAACTGGATTTTGACGTGCGTGTTTTACGACATTGTGGACTATTTTTTTTAAAAACAAAAAAGTGTTGACATTTAATTCTAAATGACATTTACACCTAGAACGGACTATCATTAAAAATTCACGCTTCTCCATGCGGACATAAGGTATGTGTTTGCATAATTACTGTTTCCGTCAACCCTTAAAGCAACTGAGCTATTACCTACCGTATACAAGTACGTTTAATAGAGGTAAAATAGTGGGTAGATATCGTAATAATAGACCGTAAAAGAAGCGGTCAATTCCGTTATTATAGCGTACATTATTTTTAACAATAACATATGTTTGTGGATATAAATATCAACTATACATGAATTATAGTCTTTCATCGATAAAGATCCGTTACATTTTCTTTTGTCTTATCACTTAACTGGTTTCCAACAATTATTTACATAAGATATTAGTGTAGAGTTCGTAGTAAGTATAGTGTATTTATTCTCAACCGTTTATTAAAAAATCATGTCCATAAATTTGAGTGGATGTGACAATGATACCAGATATGCAGTCAAACCGAGATATTAGGTATATATATACTCAGATAAAATATAACGTGGACGTAACCTATTGTGAAACAGTAATCTCTAGCATAGAAAGCAATGATTTATTTGTCAGTTTCTCGATATCAATATGTTATGAGTTTTATCTATTGAATTAATAGTTTGTAATTATGCTGTGGGTAATTTTAATATAAATTAATGCCCTTAAACTATTGACTATAATATTCATTAGGAAGCGTAATGAGCAATAATAGATAGAGTAGCTGCATGATTTCAACAAAGTTCCGTTGGAAAGAGTTTGTTTATATTTATATCAGGCATTTTTTATTTATATTTATTTCAATAAAAATAAAGTAATACCCACCTGCTTCGAAATTATTATTCTAAAATTATTATTAATTGTAAGAAGTACATTATAATTTAGACATATTATTTAAACTTTATACAATTTATGTTATGCTTAGACCCATTGCTCTATAATGTGTGATTTATAATCGTGTTATTAAATAGGTATTTAATTCAAAACTTAAATGACCGTCCATAGAATCCTATTTAATAAAATCGTTTTTACGATTTCCTCTATAACGTTTTTTTATAAAGTTTACAACCCCTACTACGTCATTGTTATATTGGATATGTTGTTAATAGAAGGCAAGTGATAAAATATAACAATATAACGTTTCGATTCTCTTGTTCTTCTAAATGAAATTATTACATTAATTAATTAATAAAATTATTACATTAATTGTATACCTATATAATAGCTTGCAATATTAATATCTTGTTTGTTACTTTATCTTTAAGTTGTACATATATATAGATGTTGTTGTATTTACGTAGTAAATTTATAATATGATCAAGGGACAAGATAATTAGTTTGTTTAATTACCACTGTATAAAAAAAAGGTGATTCTGAATTTATTAAAAAAAACCATATTGGAATATAGTGAGTATTTGATGTATTGATGTTATTTTTAATTAGGCATAATGGCATATAACAACGAGATATCTTCATATTTTTAAAATGACAATACAGAGAATATGTTAACATACTAAAAAATAAAATAGTAAAAAATCGTGCATGCATGTTAATTCTTCATATATGGTAAGTGCAAACTCTACAATTATATTAAAATAATTTTACTAATTAAAAATTAAAAAACAGGTTTAATCTATAATTATAAATATAATTAATACAAATAATTTACTTAATATGTATTAAACTTCTGTATTATTTTTAATAAAATTTTCATTGCACTTCACTTTCGTTATACTTGTTTATTTATTAGTCGGTAGAAAGATCTTTATTTTTGCCGTTACTCAAATGTTGGTAACTTTTCCACTAACATCATACGTGCAATCGCTGAGTCCGGTGAAACACGAGAGGAATTTCCACTTTGCCGACGTTACCAGACGGGAAAATATCCCAAATATTGTACCTACATGCTGCATATTACCGATGCTCCAAGAACGTATAAGATTTAGTACATTTTTAACATCTTAGTGTAAAGGAATTCTTATGTTCTAAAATTGGGAGTTTAATTTTATTAATTAAACGAGCCTTCATTCTTTTTTCAATTTGTTTCCATTAATTTTACAGTACCTACATAGGTATGATAATATACCTTTTCTGATGTTTTCTATGTAGGTATACTTTATAAGATACCAACTCTTTATCAGGATAGAATTTAATGAATCGTCTTCGATCACAACATGAATTTGTAAGTATACTTACTGGGTACTAGCTGTGACTCGCGATTTAGTCTGTTTCAATCTTTCATCCTCTATTACACCCCTAGCTTATGTACATTCTTGTAATATATGTCATCTTCATGTCAAAACTTAAGATCCGTTCAGCCGGTTAGTCGCGAAAAGATGTAAACAGACAGACAAACACATTTTAATATTTATTATATTAGCTCTGGATCAAGAACTTATACATGAACATAGATACATACTTATTGAGAGTTAAAAAGAGCAAAATAATGGAAATCCTATTGGCTTCTTATTAAATATCTCCACTCCACACATCGCCGCTTTTGCAGGCATTGGCCCTTACTTCGTGAAAGTCTTGTTTCCCAAATTACTGTCGGCCTTTCACGGGAGTTTCTCGAGCAAAAAATCTTTAGAAGTACCGAGTACCTACCCCGTATTATGTTTGCTGCCGATGCGTGCCTAATTTAATATTTCCGACGAATCTGAGATACGAAATTTAACAATTTTCCTATTTCATCATTATAACCTTGGCTTTTGTATCAATAAATTGTATTTACGATATATCTTTTTATAAACATACCTAAAAATGTATAAAAGCTTTTATTCGTCAGTCACTGAGAACTTTCTTGCTTAGTTGTTTACTGCATTGTCTTAAGTGTTAAAGGTCGTGGGTACGAATATAATGAAGATATAATTTTATCTACTAATTTATATTTCCTCCCAAGGACTGTAAGTCTGTCCGGAGTCAGTCAAACTTATAGGTATTGGAAATATCGATATGAAACAAAAAATGATCAGAGCAATGTTAGTAAGTCCCTCTTATATGTACTTGCTTTAATATTTTTCATTCAAAGTAAATAAATGAATGCATCAACACAGTTCGAGGTAAAGAAAATAACGCTGCTAAACTTTAGGAAAACACTGCCTCGACACTCGGTTACTGGTTGTTGAAATTTTAATTGAAAAACTAGTTGTTAGCTTACGGAAACTTATACGACCCACTTATGTGCAGGTAATTACAGCCATGTATGGAAATAGTTCATATTATAAATAGACAAGGTTCATGTGAGTTCGCACGTATGTTTTCTCCTTATTATTCTAATTCTAGTGTAGAATCGATTCATATATAATATTCAAATAATGAATTTTAGAAAAGATTACATAGCGAGTCACAAATTACAAACTTTCAGAGATAATACCAGAGTTTACGCTATTGAGTTTAAAGTCTAGTTTTATTTATTCATGTCAGTGATATTCTATATCTATTTATCATGTTTTATTCAGTAAGCTAGAAGTAGTACTATTGTCATTTATGGAGATGACGTAGCGTTCATCATAATTTACCAAAAAGTACATTTGTTTTAATATATTTTATGTGGGATATTATTTAAAAAAGAAATTAAACTGTAGGCAAGAGTATACTTTATGACACGGAAAATAATACGAGCGGGTCGTGACCCTTTTATTCATAAATGCTCTCCATAGTCATTAAAGACCGTCATTACAGGCGTAATGGTAATCAAGTCAAAAGTAAATAAAAACGGTATTTAATTATATTTAGCTATCTATGCAATAAAATGTATAGAAAATGAGATTACCGGCTTACGCGTAACTGTATACATTATTAATGCATATTACTTTCGATGTTAACTTATGCGCAAGAGTCACCGCGTATTCTATTACCACCAATTAGTGGGCAAGTCGGTTGCCTTTGATGACCGGCCGTCGTAAAAAGAAAATTGATCTGGACCGCCCGGTCGGTGCATCTTTGTCGCATCGCACTTGAGTCCGTCGATACAAAATTGATGTTTTAAATATGATATTGAGAACTTAATATATAATATACGAGCTATTAGCCACGAACTTTCATACCCTTTTTATTCTTTGCTGTTTAATTTTTGATATAAAATTTAACCTGTGTCCGTCCCGTGATATTCATATAAAATTTTATTAAAATCTATTTAGATAGTCAGAGCGAAGAACAGACACATTTTCAAATTTATTATATTTGTATGGATTTATAACAGTATAAAGTGTAATGTGCCATTTTTCTTTTTAGATCTCAATCAAAAGATAAGAACAAAACACTGACTAACTTATTTCTGGTAGCTATTCCAGTCAATTGGCTTTAGAATTATGCAGTGGTATAAATCAGTCATTTTATTTTGTCTAACAAACATGGGTACCTACTAATTTTAATTGTAATCAATATTATTAGGTATTTAATCAGAAGTGTATTAATATTATTGGTATTAATAAAATTGTTTTTAGTAGTGACACTATTACTACTGTACGTCAACGGTTTTAAAAAATAAAATTAAAAATTATAAATATATTTTAGATTAATTAAATGTCTTTGTTTGTTATATATATATTATAATCCGGCTGAAATCGGGATACTGACATTATGTAGAATTGCGATCACATAAAATAAATATGAATAATCTAATTACTGTTTAAAGATCTATAAATATGACAATTAAAACGAGATAAAAATATAACAATAAACAATTAAAAAGAGCTCAAAACATATTAGAATTGTTTGCTAACCGTTTCTTTACCATGTCTACCATATACGCAAATGTGTATAGTAATAGTTATGTAACGTTACACACTTCACGGCTTCACGCAAAGCGTTCCGTGTCACGCACCCAATGTAACAAACGGCACGCACTGCATTTATTGTTTGTCGTCGCGGTGTACTTACCTAAACGCCTACGTCACGAACGGAACGTTTCACGATGCACTTCATAAAAAACCATGAAGCGTAACTTTTCATGCATGCACAATACAAAAATCAAAATTAGCATGGTCACCAGTCCAAGCCTGTATATAAGCTCATCTCAAGCCAAAGACTTTGTAAGGTAAGTTTTGTCTAAAATTTCTAAATTATT